AAGATATCTTGAGAGAATAGCTTGTTCTTCATAGCAGAAGAATATGCCCCAAATTGTTTTTAAACTGAGCTTTCAGGGTCTGTGAAATGCCATGGCATTACTTTAATGATTAAAAAATGAAAAGTCAATAAAAATGAATGATGCATTCATCCTTAATTATATGCCAAAGATGAATAGATATCTATATTATGAGCTGGAAAAAAAAAAATGAGTAACTACTGCACCAGACACTGTGCTAAGCAAAGACATGTTAATTTAGCTCCCATCCTCCACAATACATTTAAAAAAAACTGAGTCTGGAATTCAGTAGCTCAAGGTCATATAGCTAAAAGTGTCAGTGCCAGGATTCATGCCCAGAATTCAAATCCAGGTTTTGTCCAGTTTCAAGGCCCGTGTTCTTTTCACCGCATATTCTGCTGCTTGGTTTCATACTGATCTGGCTCCTTCCAGTCATGCAGCTTTCAATTCAATGACCAACCCTAGCAGTGCAGAACAAAGGTAGTTGCTTCCTTAAACTCACCTTGCTCTTCTTCCCCACTGCCCTACCCTGGGAATTCTGGGTAGGACACTCCTGTCCCTCTCCAAGTGATTATAAGAAGTGCCCAAGCTAAACAGTGCATGCAAAGAGATTTTAAAGTCATCCTGGCATAATTATCCTAATCAACAAAAACCAAGTGCAGCTCAATTAAACTTTTGAGAAGAAAAGATTGTGTGGGAGTTCAATAAATTAAAGTGTAAGGTCAGGCTTTTATAAGGTGCTCCAGATTCTATCACCTTGCTCTAATTCTTGCATATTTCAGCAGTCATGTTTTTTTGTGACTTCACAGAAATAACAAGTCATTTTAAAAATCCCGAGATGGTTACAAAAGTACTGTTAACACACACTGAGCATCCACATATAGCCCACAGCACTGAGAACACCGGGATAAACTTGGAAGTCTGCAATTGCAAAGTTATTTTTAAATCTAAACCAGGTGATAATTTAAAAAAAAAAAAAAGGGAAGAGGTGAGTGTTACTGAGCCAACTTAGATTTCTCAGTTTCCGCAGTGTTTGCCTTGCTCCTTTCATTTTTGGCATTATCAGTGTCATAAGAGTTTGAACAAATCTAGAGCAATTATCCAGAAACCTTCACACATAGGCTGACTTGATCATCCTGAAGTCTTTGATTCACATATTTCTTCAAACATTAAGTGAAATTATTTACTTGTAAAGATTCCTCATCTCCTTTTAGAATGGTAATTTCAAAGTTTTTTGAATAGTACATCAATGAGAGCAAATAACTATTATCAAATTGTCAAACAAAAGGATATCTTTCAAGATAACGCAACTGCACAAAACCTTTGGTTATCTGTACACAAAACAAAGAGCATGCTATATTTAATTTAAGAAAAACTCATAGGCTTTCTGAATATTAACTAATATCGTTAAAAGCCACCTACAACCTAATTTGGTTTAGGGTCAAAGCATTGTGTGCACACAGTAGGTTGTCAATGTGTAATCTGAATGAACCTAGGCAGTTTTAACCTAGGAAATTGTCAGAGGGAAAATTTATATATATTTTTCTGTATGTATAATTCTATATATCTGTAACAGTGACTGATTTCAAAACAAAACACCAGGAGAATGAGTATGAGGCTGCCATGTATGAGGCAAGCCTTCAGAAGGGGCAACAAGACTTCCCAGGTACGCCGAATGCAAGTCTGTGAATGGGGAGTTACTCATTAAACAGCCCACATAAAGATTCTTGTTAGTACAGATTTTTTATGGAGCAACCAACTGCACAGAGGGCTATTATAAACTTCGATTATGTATCTAAATTTGTATGAATGGAACACTGCTTTAAAAAGCCTTTAGGTACAAAATTTTGAGAATTTCTGTAATTTCAAAAAGGTCCAATCACACACTCACCCTCCTCCACCCCAAAGTTCCATTGCTTCAGATGTTTTTATTAAAACTAGCAGCTACAGAGGTATCGTGAAGGCAGATTTAAGCCAAATAGGCTATTTTGCCTTTTCCATTTTCAACAAATAAAATTTGATTTTGAAGTTTTTTGCCGGTATGTCCATCTTTCAGCTATATCACAGAACCTTAAAGAGAAGAATTATTATCATTTGAGGCTTTGTTACAGAATGAAGAATCTATAGTTGTGCATTTTAAAAAAATGTGTTTTTACTTCAGAAGCTATGAAAAAGTAAGCTGTACCAGCCACAAGAGATTTTTGGAAAAAAGATCAAAAGATGGCTAATATATTTTTATATGAAAAAAGAACACAAGCTCAATTCTCAGTGGCTCTTGTCAAAGCCAGTTTGCACAGTGGCTAGACAACAAATAAGGGCATTGTTAGCAACTCAGGAAAACTCCTACAGAAATAATTGAAAATTTCCCCTCTGGGTTTTCAATTTACCCTCAGCAAAATAAAAACAACCCTTAAACCAAAAATACACACTAGAAACTGGACCAGGGGGGCGCCTGGGTGGCTCAGTGGGTTAAGTGTCTGACTCTTGGTTTGGGCTCAGGTCATGATCTCAGGGTCCTGGGACAGAGCCCCCCACGTGGTGCTCTGCACTCAGCGGGGAGTCTGCTCGAAAGATTCCCTCCCTCCCCCGCCCCCCGCTGTCTCTATTTCTCTCAAAATAAATAAATAAATCTTAAAAAAAAAAAATAAGGAACCAACCAGACCAGGCATTGAGAGGAGAGCCAAACAAGTGTTTGTTTTTTTCAAAGATTTTATTTATTTACCCAAACAAGTGTTAATGGAGAGATGTAAACATGCAGGTTATGGTACATGTACATATTTTCTTCTCTTCTCCATTCTTATTAAGTACACATTAACAGGGAGGCCTTATGGGAAGTTAGCTGTGGCAAAGTGTAGCCCAGTAAGAACAGCTAATAACTATTGGAGGGATGGACTATGTTATGCTGTATAGTTTGATGAGAGCCCTGAGAGCCGGCTGGTCCCAAAGATGGGAAGAACAATGTGTGGGTTACCGGAGGCGGGTCCTTGGACCACACCCAACCCCGTGCTTTATATTCAGTGCTTGAGCACAAGCAGCCTGGGCCCAGAGAGGGTGGTGGGGTCAGCTCCAGCTCTTACAAGTTGTGGGGGCATCAGGGCAAAGAGGAAGGAAGAATCCACTTTCTGGATACTTTGTCATTGTTATTATCCCTTTGTTACCAAAGGTGCTGGCAACAAAATGTATTACAACACACTTTCTGGTTTTACTTCCCACCCCCCCACCCCCCCCCCACCGCCCCCAGCCCAGGATAGGAGGAGTAACCATATCACAATTTACCTGTAGGTGCAAACGAAATCGAACTCTGGGGAGATAGATTTTGTAAGGGCATCTTGGGCCAGAGAACGTGATCAGGAATTCTGCTAATGTGCCGAAAAAAAAAAAAAAAAGGTCTTCAAACAATCAGAGATGGCTACCTGAAAGAACTGTGTGGTAAGAAGCAGAAAAGTTCTTCACGGTAAAGCAGTATCATGCCCTTAAAAGACAGACTAAAAACCATGACCAAGAACACAACCTCACTTGAGGCACAAAAAATGGATTCTGCAAATGGGATATTCAGCAAATATTTCACTGCATGGTTCAGGAGTCCCTAACCAAAAATAAAATGTGTGCACGGGAAAAGGTTCACAACACAAACTTCAGAAACCTATTGAGACAGATGGGCTCTGTTCTGGTGTCTTTTATTTCCCAAACTGTATTAAGTCCTCAAATTAGGAACTAGAAGGCAAATCCAAGAAATTTGAAAAATATAGCACTGGGTAGAAAATTACTAGCAAAAAAGATGTAGAAAAGAATGAAAATAAAACTGTCCATTGTTTAAATGGTCCTTATTTTTTTATTTAAAGATTTTATTTATTTATTTGAGAGAGAGAGAATGAGAGCCAGAGAGCATGAGAGGGAAGAGTGTCAGAGGGAGAAGCAGACTCCCTGCTGAGCAGGGAGCCCGATGTGGGACTCGATCCCGGGACTCCAGGATCATGACCTGAGCCGAAGGCAGTTGCTTAACCAACTGAGGCGCCCTTATTTTTTAATCTTGCTGAATCTCAAACCCATGTTCAAACATTTAATAAGATAAAATCCTGAGAAACTGGACTCAACAAGAAGAATTTTGGTCATAAATTTAACTCTTATGGTCATAAATTTAAAAAGTTTAAAAAATTGAGTTCGTATCTCCAATATATACACACCTATTTATATTTTTACAATTTACATATTCACTACTCTACTGGAACAGTATATAAATGATGTACACAACAAATAATTTTGAAAGATAAAAAGTATTTTTAAAGCAGATCTAATATTTTCCTCTCAACCCAAGTGTATGATCTTTGCACAACTGCACAACTTGGAACATCAAACAGCCCACTTCCGGCAACACTAGTTCACAAGCTGGGTGTGAGCAGCAACGTACATGCACCAGCTCAGACACACACGTTTTGAGATTTTGCAGTATTTTATTTAAAATACTTCAACTTTGGGCACCTGGGTGGCTCAGCTGGTTAAGCGACTGCCTTCGGGCTCAGGTCATGATCCTGGAGTTCCAGGATCAAGTCCTACTTCTGCTTCGGGCTCCCTGGTCAGTGGTGAATCTGCTTCTCCCTCTGACCCTGCCCTGTCTCATGTGCTCTCTCTCTCTCTCTCTCTCTCACTCTCTCTCAAATAAATAAAATCTTTTTAAAAAGAAAGTCTTTAAAATACTTCAACTTTAAATGTAGTGCTTAAGAACCTTCTTAAAGCAGTTGTGGGGCAAATTAAGACAGCAGTTCAGGGATTTCAGAGACAGTTTTCCTTACTGTCAAAAACTGCACTTCATTCAGCAACTACAATGAGAGAGGCATTTATATTACATGCAGTATGTCTAATTCTCACAAGAACTATAAAGTAGAAACGATTTTTCCTATTTTATTTAAAAAAAATGAAACCGGTGGAGGATCGCCGCGGCCCCTCCTCCTAGAGAAGCCGCCTTTTCCCGCGTGAGCCGCCTCTGCTGCTCCTGCCGCCCAGGGGGGAAACATGGCGTCTGCCCTGGAGCAATTCGTGAACAGTGTCCGACAGCTCTCGGATCAAGGGCAAATGACTCAGCTTTGTGAACTGATCAACAAGAGTGGGGAACTCCTTGCAAAGAACTTATCCCATCTGGACACTGTGCTCGGGGCTCTGGATGTACAAGAGCACTCCTTAGGCGTCCTTGCTGTTTTATTTGTGAAGTTTTCCATGCCTAGTGTTCCTGACTTCGAAACGTTATTCTCACAGGTTCAGCTTTTCATCAGCACTTGTAACGGGGAGCACATCTGATACGCAACAGACACTTTTGCTGGGCTTTGCCATCAGCTGACAAACGCACTTGTGGAAAGGAAACAGCCTCTCTGAGGAATTGGCATCCTAAAGCAAGCCATAGACAAGATGCAGATGAATACAAACCAGCTGACCTCAATACACGCAGATCTCTGCCAGCTTTGTTTGCTGGCAAAATGCTTTAAGCCTGCCCTTCCATACCTTGATGTGGACATGATGGATATCTGTAAAGAGAATGGAGCCTATGATGCAAAGCACTTTTTATGTTACTATTATTATGGAGGGATGATCTATACCGGGCTGAAGAACTTCGAAAGAGCACTGTACTTTTATGAACAGGCTGTAACTACTCCTGCCATGGCGGTCAGTCACATCATGTTGGAATCCTATAAAAAGTATATTCTAGTTTCTTTGATATTACTTGGAAAAGTACAACAGCTACCGAAATATATGTCTCAAATTGTGGGTAGATTCATTAAGCCTCTTAGCAATGTGTACCATGAGTTAGCACAAGTCTATTCAACCAATAATCCCTCAGAACTCCGCAACCTGGTGAACAAGCACAGTGAGACTTTTACTCGTGATAACAACCCGGGGCTGGTGAAGCAATGCCTGTCTTCTCTTTATAAGAAGAATATTCAAAGGCTAACCAAGACCTTTTTAACATTATCATTACAAGATATGGCAAGTCGTGTGCAGTTATCTGGACCTCAGGAGGCAGAGAAATATGTCTTACACATGATAGAGGATGGTGAAATTTTTGCAAGTATTAATCAGAAGGACGGTATGGTCAGTTTCCATGATAACCCTGAAAAATTTAATAATCCAGCCATGCTTCATAACATCGACCAGGAGATGCTGAAGTGCATAGAGCTGGATGAGCGACTGAAGGCCATGGACCAGGGGATCACAGTGAACCCCCAGTTTGTACAAAAGAGCATGGGATCACAAGAAGATGATTCTGGAAACAAACCATCTAGTTACTCTTGAAACTAACATCCATCCTGAGTTAGATGAGAGAAATTTATCACCTTGGCCAGTGGCAAGTGTTAGGAGGGCAGCAGGGAAGACCAAGCCTGTTTGACCTGGACATTGAGAGATTACATTTTGTTTTGACATCTTCAGTCCTATGTGCTTTAAGAAAACCATTCTCTCTGCCAAGAAAGGAAAAAAAAAAAATTCAAACTTTAAAGTCTGTTTTGGATTTATTTATCCTCAGATTAATGTTGTTATTGCATTAAATCTACCTTTTTGTTTAAAAAAAAATGAAACTAAGTTTCATGATCAGCTGTATCCTATAAATAAGTGGTAGAGCCAGGGTGGGTATTCTCAAAACCACAAAATCATAGTGGTCCCAACTATAGGACATTATGGGAAAGGCCAGTATTTTTAACTCTTTCAATATCTTCTTTACAGCTGGCTCCTTAAAGCAAAGAGAGGGGAACAGAGAAACAAATGGTTGGCTATTAAAAATTACCTTCGTTTTAAAGAACAGCCATCAGATATTTCCACCTGCTTCCCTCCCCTTCTCCTCCAGCAAACAGTCCTAGAAAGAGGACTGCAGGCCAGAATTCTGCGAGTGGTTCCGGTGGTCAGACACACGGGCCTAGGGTAAGGTTCCACCAACAGTCGTCCCAAACCTCAGAGTCTAACCAGCACTGTTTCCCCAAACAACGTCCTCTCATCTTAACAAAGAACTTGTGAAGGGTGAGTTTTGGAGCCGAGAGAGCCGCGGGTTCTGTTCCACAGAGCAAGCACAAGAGCAGCGGAGAAATGGAAAGCTGGATTCCCTCCCCACTCTTCTCACTGGATCGACTCTGTAGTAGGAGCATCCTGGACTTTTTCTCAGGGCCCAGTGTTTCTGGCTATGTTCCCAGAGAGCCTGAAACTGGCTACTTGGTACCCCAGAACTTATTCCTCTTCCAGACACAGGTGCAGAGACCATCCGTGAAAACTCTGGACTACCAGAGACCCACAAAAGATGAGCTCAGTGAGGCTGGGGTAGTTACTTTAAGGTAAAAAGTGACTGGATTAGGAGAAATGCTGATTGTTAAATTCTGTTTGGCAGCTTAAGTACCATGACTTGAAATTTCACTGCTAAACTCAATGGAAAACGTGGGTCAAATACACTAGTGACTCAATATGATTTCCTTTCCTGGACATTTTAGAAAGATACATGACTTACTTTCTGTCCAGGTTGGTTTAGATGGTAGAGAAAGTAGAACGGATGAATCTCAAGGCCTTTTCCAGTTTTATATTCCCACACAAGCATTCTTCCCACTGGCAAACCCCTGTTCACTCCCCACACCCAAGCAGAGCTTCCCTATGAAGCTTTCTCCACACTTAAGGTGGAATCAGGGAACTTTTTCCTCTGCATGCTCCCAAGATCTTAAGTTTATGTTTACTAGAAGCACTCACTTCAAAATGCAAGTGTTTGTTCTTCACTATGGCTCTCTGTGCTTACTCGGCCTTGTATTCTCACGACTTATCACCATGCCTGGCATGGACTATATCACAATAATAATCTTGTGGATGAATAACTAAAGGCTGACCCCATGAATCTGAAGAAGCACTGATTCCTACAGATAAATTATAATAGCTTGGTCGTGGTGGTTCTGTTTCAAACCAGGATTTGTTTTTATACACTTTATATACATCCATCCTAGTTCTCTGAGCATTTTGTCTGTAGCCTCCTAAGATCACTACATCTGGTTGTCAACATACAAAGGAACCTCCTCTCATTAGTGGTCACACTAAATCCAGCATAACACAAATGAGGTGGCTCTTACAACTCTTCTATTCACAAATGAGGAACCACTGTCATTTCCAGCATTTGCTGTGATTTCTATACAAAATTGCCTGGCCTGGTGGGGAAAGTTAGGCTTTCAACTGTTCATTCTCTGGCATCTCTATTCTACTCAAAGCGTTCCTCAGTATCATTCCAATTTTAGTATATGTGCTGCCGGAGCAAGCACCAAACTGTTCCTCCAAAACAAGGGAAGATTTTTTTAAAATTTGAGAAAAAAAAAAACAATCCTCATCTATTTTGCTTGGAGGGCTTGATCCAGCAAATACTTAAAAAATGAATTTCAGGGTGGGATGTAGCTAGGCAATGTTATAACCAATGTAATAGAGTATGTCCTTTTCCCCTAAAAAAAAAAAAGTCAATTTGTCATGTTTAAGGAATATCTTTCTGAACTACCAGTGAGTCACTTTATGTGGCCTACTGCAGAATAATATTCAATCCTAGAAATACTCTATCCCTTAAAAAATTTTTTCCTTTTAATTTTAGTAATTTATTATAGGAGTATGACACCAAAACTGTATGTGAAACATTGAGAATAACAAAACCCAAACTTTATAAATATTAGAAAGTACAATACAGAAATCTACCAAATAATGCAGGATTCTAGTTAGCTGTATTAAAAGATGAGGAAACTCCTTGCACAAAACACTTCCCATATAGTTCAATTGCTTATACAAATTATGTCAAGAATTCACACTTTTAAATATACTTCTGACCCTGAATAACTAAAGCAAGCCTTCCTCTGTCAGCCTCAGCCTGCCCCACTCAAGGAGGAAGAGTGGTGCAAGAACAAGCAAATCACTAAAATATCCATTTACTTACTCCCGCATAGCTCTCACCTTCCCTGACCCCCAATTCCAATATTTCAGTTAACTACCATCTACCTTAACTCTTCTCTTCCAGAACACAGGTCAGCAACCAAGGAGAAAAGTGCAGATAACAAGTCAACATTATTGCCATGCTACAATACTTCTTAGATTCAATTATTTTGTTAAGCTTTTACCTTCCCCAAACTTCCTATGAAGGTTTTTTTTTTTTTTTTTTACCTTCTACACAGATCAGCAACAAAGTGAGCATATTCAAAATAAGTTGGCCCTCCTACTGCACAAAATAGCTCTTTCCCAGATTTCAGTCCCACAGGATTTCAGCTCCTCTTTCTTAAATTGCTATTTATTCAACACAACACTTACTTGGCATGCATCTTAGGCTACCTTCCCCTTCGCTTCTCTCAATAACAGCCACGTCCTTGGAGGTGAAAGCTAGCTTGAGCCCTTCTGTACCCAGAGTGCCAGCACACGCTCAGGAGAAGCCCTATGGGTGACGGTAATGGGGATGGGAGCCATTCTTCTCCCATCTCTGGTTAGGAGACGGGACCCAGAACAGCCTCCTACTCAAAAACACTCAGACCATTTTTCAGTTCACATTATGACCTACTGTAGGGGGTATGAGGGTGTGGTAAACAAACAGGTTTTATCTCCTACGTAATTATGATCAATTCAGCACCAGCTGCCTATTGCGCTGGGTTAAGAAAGATAATGAGACCACATCTGGACTGAGAGAGAGACTGTACTCTGACGGATTAGGGACGGCGGCCGCATGCGCAGGTGAGGAGCATGTGCAAGTGAGGAGCATGCGCCGTGTGTGCTCAGTGCTTGCCATCCTAGCTCCAATCACTGAGCGAAAATGTCAATTTCAGCACTTTCAAAAACTTCTTCCTGCCTAAGTTCCTTTCCTAAATGAAGCATTAGACCAGGGATAGAGGATTCAAAGTCTTCCAGATATCTATTTCTATGTATCCTTTTTGTTTGTTTATATGACTGTTTTTATTTTAAAAAAATAAAAAGCCTTGATGTTCTCCATCATCCCGATCTCTAATTATAACTTAAAAAAAAGACAAAACCCAGAAACAGTAGTTCAGTTATAAAAAAAAACAACAACAATCTGTGATACCTCTACTTGAAATCTTTTTCCTAAGCTACTGTTCTTTAAAAAGATGGCAAATAATTTAAGTTAGTTAAATTTATTTTACTTAAGACAAAACCTGTTTCGGTGGTTATTAAAGCAAAAATTTAATTTTTCCCAAAGCAAAAAAGAATTGATAATGCATTCTAGTTAATTTCCTTAGCAAATGTGCAGTTTGATATATCTATGTATCCTTTTATATAAAAGTTTGGTGAAGAATACTGTTCCTGGTGAATCAGACTTAAAGGTCAACATGATGGACCCAGCGTTCCCTCCTCTTGCTGCTAGCTTTTCCACAAAAGCAAAAGCATCAAAGCTCTTCATTCCAGAAGCGACACCAGCCGGGATCACTTAAGGATCCCACAGACGGTGCAGCCACTCACTTTCATTCTAGTAGATGCCGCATTCTTCTGTTTAAAAAAAAGCTCTCTTTCCTCATCCTGTGCTCTCCCATATATCTGTACATCAAAGACAACTCCAAGATCAGGGGTAACAACATTGGGAGATTTGGTTTCTGACTTCTCTGAAATCATTTGATGAAACCTTGCAAAGGGCCTTTCACAATGGTGAAAATACAAACTCAACAATCTCCCCCAACAGGAGCACAAAATGTCCTAGGGGCTCGACAAACTCAGAATAACAAATCAAACCCATTCTTCTTTTTGATTTGTTCCTGGTCGTGTTCCCCTCAGCCAGAAAAATCCTTAATTTTTTTTTTGTAATATAAAAGATCGAAGACTCCATTTCATAATTCTTATCTAAAGCAGCATTATTACAAAGCAAATCACATCGAGCGCGGACAATCTCCACTTCTAGCTTTATAATCCAATTGATTTTATTTCTAAGGCAATCTTCATCAATTTGCACTTCCCTAATCAAATTCTGTTGTTTAAAGAGGCAATTTTGCTTAATACTTGCTGTCCCCTCTGCATTACGGTAATATGCATCCTTGCTCTCCCACCCCAACCTTCCCAAAGCATTTGTGCCACTTATGAACTGCTCCATAGCTCTCCTCCTCCTTTCTCCCACTGAGAACAAACCACTTAGGCAGGGTCATTCAGAAGTTCCCTCAAAATGTGTTCAATGGTTATAATGAAATAAAAAGTCTTTCCAAGATAAAAAAAAAAGTATGTTACAGAGTGAGAAAATAAGTAAAAATATGTTGCTTTTCTCAAGAATTCAAGAAATATTCTTTGTTTAGTGAAAGGCCAGTTTGCCTTTTTAAGTTAACTTACAATCTTATAAAAGCTTCCCAAATCCCAAATACTGAAATCATTTAAATAATTACCTCAGGGAAGGAAAAAGGCACACACCCCCATGGGCATTATATGACATAAGGAACAATAGAGCCTGGAACAGGAGCCTCGCTGAGCCAGAGTCTGGAAGGTCTCGGGGTTCTGAACCGGTTTACATTTCAATCCATCCCCCACAGTCTTTTCCTCCCTGACTGCTAACTCCAGGACCCCTGGGACCAAAGGTGCAAACACAGCCAAGGAGAAGTCGGAGACAAACGCAGCTCACCTCAGACTGGCACCAAGAGTGAAATGCTATTGCCACTTTATACATCAACAGAGCCTCTAAAGCACGGTATTTT